CTTGCAAAAGTCTAATACCAGATATTGAATTACTGGTACAGCAATTTATCATTTATAGCAGCTTTCGGCACTGTATAATAATAAAATATCAAATTGCTAGTTGAACGGATATTGGTTTTGGTTAAAATGGTAATAAACTATTTATACAGGGCAACGTGTATAATGCCCCATGTAGCAGTTTTGAACATGCAAAGCAAAATTTGCAGGCCATCCCCGGCATATATGGATATTTTGCAAAACATGCACATGACAAGAATGAATTAAGGCCAATTTAGGGACAAAACTTTGTAGGATAGCCAGGAAATTTTACTAGGTAATATGCCAATTTGTATCCAAGCTTTTCTTCGTCTTTCTATTCGTTTTCAATAGTATGATTTCAGGAAGTCGTTGGCAACGACTCGTTGCTATACTCAATTGTATGAATTCCTATTTCATCAAGTCAACTTGCATGGTTGCGCGAATTCTTACAGATTTTTTCATGTCTCCAGAATTCTTTTAGTGTTCCTTTCAGTTACCAAATTCCGGAGCTATATTGCGATTATGCATTTGATATCCTGTATATGAAATACTTCTTTCTTTTTGCAGTTTAAGTAGTAATATGGAGTGAACAATGACGAACCCGTTATATAAAAGATTCATGTTATCAACAGCTCAAAAATCATAATGGTAGGAACTTGAAACAAAATAATATCGCTGGAAGACTTTAACGGACGAACAGGAAGAAAAATCAACACTAAGGTAGTCGGAAAATTCGGAGAGAATGTAACGAATAAAATAATGGAGAAAGGCTCATAGCAATATGCTAACAAAATAACCTAAAAGTCCTAAACAAGAAAACAATATTGTGCCTGAGATATACAACATAAAATCTCTAGAAGAGCAAAGCGTAAAGGGGTTGTACATGAAGAAATTAGATCAAAAATTACAGAGTAGTATGAACTTCCAAAACCTGGAAATGCATTACCACCATATCGAAGAGAGTATGTATATTCACAGTGCAGCATTTGAAGTCCTAGGCAAATACGAAAAAAATGGAAGAAGACCCTCACTTTATCGGTGGGATCAAGAAATAGAGAAAGATATAGCAGATAAAAGAAAGAAATACCAACAGTATCCAAGTTCAAATAAGAGACGAGATAAAGAAATATACACATAAAGAAGCACAAGCAAGCAGAGTAAGGAATAAAATAGTACAGAAAAAAAACGTGTCGTGGGAAACAAACTGTGCGCATATTGATACATATCTGGGAGGTAAAAGAAACACAGAAAGTTGGAGATTACTAAAAAACATGAGGAAACCACAAACCAAGGATATTATCAATACAATAACTGTTAAAATAGCCAATAAGAATATTTCTTTAGTTGAGGTTGTTGGCAACACCGCAATGTCAAGGTAGTCAGTCAGCTGATTGTGACAGAGTGTGCTTGTGTTTTTTAGTACGTCCGTCGATTATTGTATTTTTTGTTTTCTCTAATTAATAGAAGTTATTAAACATTATTTCCGTATCTAAAGTGTTTTTCTATTGACCCAATTACCCACTGCTTGACAGGTTATGGGCTCAGTGGACTTTCAAATCGGAAAAATCGTGTTCAAAACCGGATTTTAGTTGAGAGGTTATGGGTCGGCGAAATTAGGTACGGGCGGTTAAATCGATACGGTTCTGTAATATCGATAGTAGAAGTGACGGACGGTAAATCGATAGTTAGTCGCGTCGATAGTTGTTGGTGCGAAATACTCGGTTTTGGGGACAGTAAAATATACCCGGTATAGGGGAAAGTTTGTTCGAAATTTGAATACCCGATTTACAAGGGGACAGTATAGGACCAATAAATTAAAAACACCATGGAAGCATCATCAGGAGCAGCACAAGTAACTAAATTAGCAGGAGACAACTGGATTAGCTGGAAATTCCAGATTCAGATAGCGTTGAAATCCAAAAGCTTGTTTACAATAATCACAGGAGGAGAGGTTGTTGGCCTAGCACCCAACAACGGGGTCAACTGAAGATTGGGACAAGTAGGATGCAAAAACACAAGAGATTATAGTGTCCAAACTGGAAGATAAAATTGTAAATCATGTTCTTTCTTGCAATACAGCAGCTGAAATGTGGGAGAAGCTCAAGTCCATATATGAACACCAGTCCAGAACAGAGTGTCCATCTGTTGCATCAAAAGTTTTTCAGTCTTGAGTATAAAAATTGTGATGCAACTGACTTTATATCACAATTAAAGCAAATGAGGGGACAATTGAAGCTTTTGGGTGAAGATTTAAGTGAGAAAATGTTGATAACCAAAGTGCCTGAAAACTTGAAGCATTTCATATCAGCATGGGAATCTACCAGTAGCACTAACCAAAATTTGACTGAATTAACATCCAGGCTCATGATTGAAGAAGAAAGGTTTATACAAGAGCCTCATGCAGATGCTTTATTATCCAAGTTCAAGGGGCAAGAACAAGGTGGTCCAAAATGTTTTCTTTGCAAAAAGTCAGGTCATTTTGAGAAATATGGCCCTCGTAATAAGCCCAGAGAAGATGACAGGAAATATAGACTAAAGTATCATTATTGTCATAAACAGGGGCATGTTATAGCAGACTGCTGGTTTAGGAAAAGGAATGATCAAGGAGATGGTGTAGGCATGCACTGGTAATTCACAGGGTGGCATGTCAAATGCTTTTATGGGTGTACTTGAATTAATTAAAACTCCAGAGACACTATCATTGATTGAAGATGCCAAAATAGAGTCAACAGATTGGTGCTTGAATAGCGGAGCCAGCGATCATATGAGTTATGATAAAAACCAGTTTGAATCTATGGAGTTGATCCAAGGCAGAAAAGTGAAGCTTGGAGATGGTTCTTACCTAGAGGTGGAAGGTGCTGGGAAAATTAAGTTAGAATGGTAAAAGTTGGATACCCACAGAAATGAACGATATGTTCCTCAATTAAAAATTAGCCTATTCTCACTTGGGAAAGTGCTGGATAAGGACCTGATCGTGAAGTCGGACAAAGACAAGTGTGAAATTGTTAACACAGAGGGATGAGTAAGAGCTCTAGCAAAAAGGCAAGGTAAGCTTTTCGAAATGACTTTTAGAAATGCTGATGAAAGTGTTTTAGAGTGGCATAATAACATGGCCTATGTAAATTTTCAACAGGTTAGATCAATATTGAAACAACATAATATTAAATTTACAGAAGATGACAATGTTGTATGCAAACCATGTCTTTCTGGAAAGCAACATAAGTTACCATTCCAGAATAGCACTAGTAGAGCTTGTAGAACCAATGAATTGATTCACACTGATTTATGCGTTCCTTTAGAAATTGAGTCTCTGGGAGGTTCAAGGTACCTTGAACTCTTGATGAAAGATGTCTATCCTGGGTTAAAAGTAGTTTTTCTCCAAACGTCAAAAAAACGTCACTTTGTCAGCACCTGTCAAGATGTTAGAAATTTAATTTCTCTGCTGGTAGGCAAATCCAGCGGGTTAACACCTGTCGAGGTGGTAGAAATTTAATTTCTATGCTGCTAGGCAACCGTAGCGGCAGTAGAAGTACTATTAGTGCCGCTAGAGCGGCAGCAAAAGTACTTTTAGTGCCGCGTGTTACATACGGAGTAGAAGCACTTTTTTGTGCTTCAGCCATATTGCAAGCCTCACTTCGTTCGGCTCGCAAACCTACTGCTTCAGCACAAAAAAGTAAAGCTTCTACTCCTAATACAACAATATACTATTATTTTCTGAAACACAAGGATGAAACTAAGTCCAATATAGTTCACTTTTTGGAAATGTCAGAGAATCAAACAGGAAATAAAGTAATAGTCTTAAGGTCTGACAATGGACTCGAGTTTGCAAATAGGGACATTAAATTAATTCTGGACAAAAATGGCATTAAGCATGAAAGGACGTGTGTTTACTCTCCTCAGCAAAATGGTCGAATAGAGCGAGAAAATCGGTCCATATTGGAAGCAGCAAGAACCTTGCTCCACTCAAAGGACTCACCTTAAAACTTACGGGCAGAAGCCGTCAACACAGGCGTTTATGTGCTTAATCGAGTAGGAAAGTGTCCTGTAAAGAATAAAACATCCTCAGAATGGAAGAAAGTTTAATCCGAATTATTTGAAGTCTTTTGGATTAGAGATATCCGTTTATATTCCTAAAGAGAAGCGTAAAAAGTTAGATGCGAAGAATGAGATTGGAATATTTGTTGGTTACAGTGAAACAGTTAAAGAATATAGGGTGTTTTATCCAGATAAAAATAAAATTAAAACACATCAAGATGTTGTATTTATGTATATCCTCCAGAAAACCATGTCGAATCGAAACAAAGGGAACTTGGACTTAAATGACAAGGTGAACTTGAATCAGGGCAATGAAGAGGATCTTAGTGAAGATGAAGATTCCGCGGCTCAGAGAAATGGGGAAGAACCAGTTGTTGAAAATCGAGCATCAGATTTAGAACAAGAGAGTGAAGATGAGACTGCAGGTGAAGAAGAAGAAGACGATGAGGTGCAGAGAGACAGAAGAGGCAGACCATTGAAGAGACCAGGGTGGTTGGACGACTACAATATATCTGATATCAGTTTTATTTCTTTGGAGGAACCGTCATCATTTGAAGAAGCCATGAATAGCGATTGTGCAAAAAAAATGGAAAGAAGCAATACAGAAACTAGGCAAAGGAAATTCCCCTCGAAACACCAAAGAGAAGGTTCAGTTTTGGATAATTATTGTTGCCTATAGTACCTACTTACTAGGGTTATCGGCGAAATGTTATATCATTCTTTATCTGATAAAACTCTTTGAATAGATGATATCAACGAATTTCAATAAAAAACAAAAAGAAATTTACATAATACCAACATTTTTAACACTTTATTTAATTGGTGATCACCTAAAAATATTCATAAACCACATCATTAATGAATATTTCCTATTGATTAAACTTATCTATGTATTATTTTTATACTTCTGTTTTTGTCATTTTCTTTTCAAAGACTTAACAAAGAAATCTTTCCTTCCATCAAAGTTTCATGTTTAATACCAGACTATATCAAGACAGATGGTTAGTCCAAAACACACTGCCCTACATATTACCGTACTTGGAAGTAGACGATGTTTTAAATCTATCACAAACATGTGAGTTATGGAAATCAGTTTTACAGGAATACTATTTTGCGAGAACATTTATTCCCACTTGTTACGATCACAAAGATTCGCTTATTGAATATGGCCCACAAGTTGAACGATTACAATTAATGGATATAAAATTTCAAAATATATTAAAGGTAAATTTATTTCTGGTACCTATGCTTTAATTTGTATTGATTTATTTTTTGTAGGTATCAGAGGAAGCCAGTTTCACTTCAAACCAAAACTCAAAAGAGTTTCTAGCAAATTTCGAAAATCTGAACCATTTCAGTTTCTACACTTCCTCGAGGTTAATTTTTATTGAACGCCGCAACTACATCATCAACGAATATTTTTATTGGAAATCTTTGCTCAATACTAAACTAACTTATCTGGATTTGGCGTTTCATCTTCCAGCGACTTTTGGTAGAGAAGTTTTGAGATATTTGAAAAGTCTCGAAGTGCTAAAGTTGCACTTTTATAGCGGAATCGATGAATATTTGTTTGAATCTATTGGGGATTTGAAATGTCTTTATAAGTTGGAACTGTTGAAAGTTGAAGTGAATGAAGATATGTCTAAATTTTTACCAATGTTTTCAAATTTGGATGAGCTTACTTTACTAATAAGAGCCCCGTGTGATACAAATTATACAGTTTTACTTAAAAATGTAGCAGAATTGTCTTCATCTTTGAAAAAATTTTGTTGGGTTGTAGCTAAAGTGACAATGAGTGATGCATTTTTCGGGCTAAATAGCCAGAATTTTTTGGGTTTGAATAATTTAGTAGATACTTTTGATAAAAGAATTTTAATAGAATCGTTGAGAAGGCATTTGCCTTATACTAAAATAACCGTTGAATTTGATTATGAGTTTCCTTTAGGGATTAGGAAACATTTTAAGAAGTGCTTTAGTTGCTGTAAAGAGGCAGAAACTTCCTTCGTTAGTTCTTATGATATGGGATGTGGAATAACCAATAAGTAAATCTGATTGTTGTTTTACTATATCATAACTTAGGATTGTATTTTTTGTTGGATAGGAAAATCTCATTAAATTCCTAAATTCTCCAAAATAGCCGCGGCAATAAATTTTAAAACTGATTTGTTTGTATCAATGTTGTTAACCTATTCTTGATTTGGAATCTTTACTTTAAGTGAATTTTCCAATCTGCTTATAAGGACGATCAAATAATAAACCACGAGGATTAAAGTTGGGACTGGGAGGTTAAGAAATGACTAGAACATTTTTTCTAAAATCCCAATTTTTCTGCGTTGCATCCTCCGAAATAATACTACTACACTCAAGTTCGAAAAACGCTTCAGATTGCTTCGATTGTTTTGGATGATTCTTCCATAATAACTTGAGGTGAGGGATGAGGATCTTGGCAATCCGAAACTACTATGTCACTTTGAATCAGAGCCACATAGGTACATTTTTTGATCCAGAAAAGGTTGTGATAAGTGAAAACCCACTGCTGCTGAATGTGGCAAACACATCAAAACCTCAACATTTTCTGTCATTAGAACTTCACAAAAATCCTTATTTGAACAGTGTTTTCAAAGAAAATGATTGATGTTGTTTACCAAGTTTGCTTTCCGAGGAAAAAAGTACGATTCGTGACAAGCTTGCATACATAATGAATAATTCATCCTCGATAAGTTCCCGATGGATTATTTCCAGCCGATAAAAACACACTAATCAAAATGCTTTTCAAATAAATTTTCCATCATTTCCCGGTAAACTATCACCGGCGGAAAAGTTGCATTCAGGTTCGTTGACCCAGGATAATGCCCGACATGGTTTCTGATCGAAGTGGCAACGCGGCCTCGTATCCCAGACTCTCCTGCGAGCTGCGACCAGGCTGCAGGATCTCCATGGGAACGCATTTCCCCTGTTTTGCTTCTGCTGGATGCCGGCTGCACCCCGGCGACGGCGTCTGTGGTTGCCGGTGGCAGGAGTTTTGTTTATACAAGGTGATAATTACGTTCTGTCAGCAATCTCCTTCTCCAGTATAATGGAAAGCAAATATTTTAATAACTCTAAAGTGGTTTTGACAAAGCGCTTTTGCGTGAGGATCACAAAAACTGTAAATCCTTCACTGATGTTCTCCCAAGCATATTTTAGCCAGCCTGGCATTGGAAACTGGATAGCCAAATAACACATGTCACTCTCAAATTTGAGTGACTTAGTTAATCTCGTCTTTAATAGTTGCTTAGAGGCTAAATTGTTACCCGCACGATGTTTAGTTTGAGCTTTTGAGTCCCTTCAATTATATAAAACGAAATTTGCCTGACCCATAATTTATGGGAAAGCTTCAAAACCTATCAATATGTTCCTGACATCTCGGACCCCCAAGATTAATATCCTTTTTATCGCAAAGCTTCAACGTGATTTAGGGGTAGGAATTGGTAATAAATAACGCGCCGGCCCTTAACGATGAAGGGTAGCGAACGCGTGCCCTTACCTTTTGTTCGACTCGACAGCCTATTTCTCCTAATTGTGACGACGACGCACCACGTTCTCTAAAGCCGCTAAAGAAGTTTCAAACTTTACTTTCGGTCGCGACAAATCGTAAAAGGGAGAGAAACTTCAATTCCCCCCAATGCCGTAAATGGTATGCGGGGAACTTTTCAACGTTACTAAGCTAATGTTGTTATTATAAGTTTTAGATTGGATTTAACATAAAATTAGAAGACATTGAAAGCACGTGATTTTTTTAATTGTCAATATAGAGGAAAAGATTCATCGACAAATGGTCTAAGCGGTACCTACACTCGTGATCTGCGACAGTTACTCAAAAAGAACATAGGATAATACTAATAAGGAAAGAGACTTAAGCCGGGAACACACCTTCGACACGGTACGTCACGTTACGATCTGGCGCGTACCGTGACGTGTAATACAAATTTCAGCTTAGAAACACACTCGTTGCTGACATAACACGCTTTATACCTTGTCCGACACTGACTAGGTTTTTTCCGCCAATTATATTTTAATTCCAGAAAGAATATTCATCTATAGTGTTAGAAAATGCAATGTGCAAGCAGTACCGATTCTTCCGATTGGGAAGTAGAACTAGAAGAACGCGAGGAGGCAGCAGTATGTTTACAAATATTAGAAAATAAAGCAAGTCATAGGACATTATGAGATTACCGGAACGAGAATCTAACGACGAAAAATAATGACTCATGTTCCCGTACTTTTTCAATTAATAATTCCTCCATTTTTGTTTTTCAAACCACAAACACTTACCAGACAAACATACACAAGTAGCGTGTGTGATCGAGATCCATAAAAAGACACGTAAAATTGAAGACCTCACTTTTAGTACTGCACGCGCTAGCTCGTAACGTGACGTACCGCTGTCGAAGGTGTGTTCCCGGCTTTAATCTCTCATAAAAAATTCGCTTAAAACTTTGAGCTTGCTGTTCTAGAAAATACGTTTGGTCATTTGTTCCTTAAACATGACAAAGGAATACCCAGATTACCGGAATCTAGGAATTTCCCTGGAAACATCAGAGAAAAGAGTTGAATCATTTTTCAAATACTTTCAGTCTTGATGATGATCAGAATCAGAATGATCACTTCACTTATTGAGTTATCATCAACGCTCTATCTGTTATGCTTAATTGCCATCAGTTCACAAATGATGAGATACTATATCGACCAAAAGATCTATGAATACCAGTAGCCGTCCAAGCCTCTAATTTTGGAGACATAGTTTCTTGATTATTCATGTACTTTTTTTCTGAGATCTAAGGATGCTGATTTTTTTTCCTTCAACATGGAAATAGTCAACAATTTTCCAATCTGGATCCAGAAATACCACAGGATAATCTGGACTAAGTTGGGAGTTTAATGCAGGAATAACAAAACAATTTGCAGTTAGAAACCCCAACAAAATGTTAGACGATGAGATTTTATCATTGCAGATCGCCCATTTTTTACTGTTACGTCCTTATTGAGAAATGTCTGGAATAATCAGCGGCTTGTTGGGGTGGTTTTCAATCATGAGGGAACATTTGATATTATTAAGTCTGTTCTCACCTCACAAGAGTCTTCGACAGTTTGCAAACTATCAAAGATTCTTGTGAGAATAGACCTTATGTTGAGAGCAAACCGTATGACAGGAATTTTGTATCTGAGCTAATATTCGTGGTGTCAGAGCATCAATCAATACAATTTTTTCCAGAGCTGTCAGGTACTTTAAGAAAAATACTTGAAATTATACTCCAAGTTCTTATAAGTAGGTACCTGAAGTACAGTGGATAAGCGGTACTTTTACTTGGTACTTGAACTATTTTTACCAATGAACTTTGCATTGTACTTGATTTCATCACAAGGTACAAGAACTTGAAGTACATTGAAAAGTATTTCAAGCACATAGTAGTACTTGCATTACATGAGAAGTACTCCAAGTACTATAAAAGTAGGTACTTCAAGTACAATGAAAGTATTGCAAGTACCGTCTTGTCTATATTTTGCACCCATATCTTTACCTCACCGTTTTAAAGAGATACCCAGAAATGTCTGATGTGAAAGTTGTATAGGTAATATCAGAAACTTTGCAATGAAGTTAGTTATAAGTAAACAGAGTGTCTCACAAAAGTATGGCGAAGCAAAGCTATACTTTTTTAAATGGAACACCGCGTATATTATCGACCTATTGAATTTACCTTTCAAACCTGATTTCAAATGTATTAGGTGTTTTAGGTTTTTTCCTCATAGTCCAGCCTCTGGATCCCATTTTGAAGAAATAATATGGATTTTTTACTTGAATGATTATTTTTATATTTTGCTGGTGGCTATAAGTACTTCACCTTTTTCAATAAAAATGCAATTATTCCGCCCAGAGACGTAGCAAGTCAAAACCGGGCCCTTGTGCAAGACTACAGCGGGCCCCCTTTACTGTGAAGTAAATGAAAACATTAAAAATTTAAAACTGATTACGCATTGGCATTGTGGCAGGTGCGCCAGGTATAATTTGTTTATGATTGTTATGACGACTTTCAGGGAGGCCAAAAATGAAGCATTTTATGGACTAGGCCGAAAATGAAGCATTTTACGGACTAAAATGGGTCCGTAATTCATCATACTTCATCATTTTACAGGTAATACTCAGCGGAAGCAACATCACAAGAAAAGGTTATAACCTCGGTTATAACTAACAGTACAGTTTGAACGAGCATTAATATTACAGATCTGTGTATGCACACATAATGCAAATCTTCATAAGGTACCCCAGAGGCGTCATCAAGTTACCCATTACCAGACAACCTGTTAACTTTAGGAACCTTGGATTTGGAATATGTCGAGGCACCCCAGATGACGTCATAAAAGTTATCAGGCAACCTACCGCTCTCAAACAACCTTGTACTGGGACTCGGAGGGCTGACTTAAAAGAAATCTGTAGAAATCGATATTACAGTTTTCTGTTTCGGTTAAAATCGCCGAAGCGAAGAATGATTAGTTGGGCGGGCGTGATGTGGTGATACTACAAGGATGATACACACATACAGGATTGCCTATCGGCCTCTTTTTTGGTAATCGCCGCCATATTGGTGTGTCACCAATTCCGACGTCATAACTAAGTCGTCAGCTGTTTGAAGAGCCTACGTCAAGGCGAGAAATAACATGCTGCCTACGTCACAACTGGTGATTAGGCGCGGGGGGAGGGGGGGATTTTTTACACACAGGACACGGGCCTTATGAGAATAGGCCATCCTGTAGTAGTAGTGTGTATCATCCTTGGTGGTGATATGATTTTTTTTTATTTCCTTGTGTGCAAAAAGTGGCAGGACTTGCCAGGCCCCTTCGGGGCCCGGGCTCTTGTGCGCGGCACCACTTGCGCATGCCCTGTTGCTACGTCCCTGATTCCACCCTTTTTTTTTCTTATTTTCTCACAGAGTATTAGGACTAAACCTAAAAAACCTAGTATATTTGGAATATAGTTTGAAAGGCTAATCCAATGGGTCAATAATACCTATACGGGGTGATACATTTAAAAAGAATAACTTTGCTTCGCAATACTTTTCTGACACACCCTGTAACTTCATTGCAAAGTTTCTGATATTACCTACAA